CAGTCATTCATTGATGAGCAGAGAAAGAGCTCAATCTATGTAGTTGGCCCTGTGCTACACACTGGGGCTGTAACTGTGAAAATAACTAAGATTTCACACAAAACTCTACCACAGTACCTAAGATTGATCTTGTCCAGGAAGGTTTATGTTACTAAAACAAATTTTTTTTCTAACAGGCTTTAAGAAAACATTGAAATAGATGGACATGGATAAATATGTCCTTATTCCCCTGAATAGATGTCTTTGAGCTGTCAATATGCTTTATTGTATATATTTCTTAGACTATTTGTCCACTTTCCATCTGTCTCTTTTCAACAGTTATTTTGAAGATTTTCTTATTTATTTTAATTAGAAAATGTATAATGTAGAAAGCTGTACCTAAATATATTGGAAACCAGATTCATTCTCAAATCAAGTGCTCAATAAATACATTAATGACTTTCTTACAGATTTTTCAGTTTGTCCTTCTATTTAGGAGGCAGATGTTAAGGTATAAGTCTAAGTAGCATGATTTCTTTGATCTTTTTGTTCTAAATATGCCTACCAAAATTCAACCTCTGGGACTTAAAAACAAAGAAGAAAAAAGAAAGACTCCATTTTGTTTCCATGGCTGTGTTGGGATTTTACTTAGTTGAGGTTTGAGACCTAAGTGCACCTCCCTGGTATGTATATGCCAGTAATTTGAATGAAAACAAAGAAACTAATATTGATGGAGGTGTCTTGACACACATTCTCAGCCTTTTGTATTTAAAATGTTGTCCTAGCCGTAGCCGGTTTGGCTCAGTAGATAGAGCATAAGCCTGCAGACCAAGGGGTCGTGATTCCAGTCAACACGTGCCTTGGTTGCAGGTTCCCCAGCCCACATGGATGTTTCTCTCTGTTTCTTCCTCTCCTTTCCTTCCACTCTTTCTAAAATCAACAGAAAAATATCCTAAGGTGAGGATTCACACACACACACACACACACACACAAAATAAAAAAATAAAAAAAATTGTCCTAATCTGTAAATACAATATTGGACCCAATGTTTGGGTATTTTTTTTTAGTTTGATTAGTTTTAAGTCCAGTGATAGAGGACTCTGTGTTTTGTGTGTGTGTGTGTGTGTGTGTGTGTGTGTGTGTGTGTGTAAAATGGGAAATATTTATTAATGATAGTGGAAACAAATATAGAAGTCAGTAAAAACTTAAGCATCCCAATGGTTTGTTTAGAATCTGGAAGAGATGGTGAGGTGAAACATTAGGCTTTGAAACTGTGACATTTGGAAACCAGAGTACATTTTTCTTCGAAATTGTGAATAAACAGCTTGGAAATAATCTAAGATGTTCCTTTATGATACTTGTTTTATTTCAGTTGACTGAGGGCACTGAAAAGCAAGTTCTGGCTAAATTATTTTGCTGTAATTGTTATGCTGCAACGCATTACTTTAAAAATATTTTGACTTACATTTGATTTCAGTGTAACTGGGACATAGGCTTATATACAGGCACATTTAAAGACCAGGCTTTTTCTGAGGTTATTGCTATGAGATGACCCTCCTGGTTTAAGTTCTAGCTCATAGAATGATACTCATGGCATGTGCTTTCACAACTGTATAGCATCTTGGAGTTGGAAGAGACTATAACAATGTGGAGGTAAATAAAGACCAGAAAATGAGCATAGGCAAAGGCTATTTATTCAGAGCTTGTGATACCAAGGCAGTCAACCACCAGCACTTACACTTGGCAGGCACTCAAAGGCAGGGAAAAGAGTGAGAAATGTTTATAGTGGGGAAAAAGAGAGAGTTTCAGTTATGCCCCAGTTGGAGACTGTTGGCCTGGGGAAGCCGTACGCAGGCTAACTAAAAGCAAGGCATCCTATATGATTAATTTTGGGTAATATTTGACTTTCTCTGTTTGGCTCTTCATTGGAAACTGGGTCCAAAATCCTGGCTGTTTTGGGCCAATTCTTACACAGTATGGCTTCCTGACTTGGTTGCTAGAGAGATAGCCTGATTTGTAGATAGCAGGTTGGCTTCCTGCACTACTACTCCAGATAATAGCTTAAAGCCCCATTTTTATACGTTACTTGCAGTTTTCCATGTGTATATTCCTTCTCTCAGTGATCATCTAGTCTAAATGTAGAAAGATTTTAAAAATTCATAAAAGACAAATGGCTATAATTTATTTAAATTCAATATTGCTTTTAACTGTGTATGGCACTTTATTTTGAAAATATCTTAAAATGTAGAATATCATTAGATCCTTCTAATTAAAGTGGGAAAGTTAGGCAGAGCTGGTATTATCTCCATCCTATTTAATAAAAATTTAGTATGCAAATCGACCAAATGGTGGAATGACTGGCAGAACTACCAGTCACTATGAGGTACACTGACCACCAGGGGTCAGATGCTCAATGCAGGAGCTTCCTCCAGTTCACAGGCCCCAGGCCAGCCAAGGTGGGTGTCAATGGGGGCCCCCCATTGTCCCGCCAGTAACCCCACAGATTGGCCCTGATCACTGGGCAAGCCTAGGGACCCTACCTGGGCACAAATTTTGTGCACCGGGCCTCTAGTTTTTAGAGAAGAAATATGAGACTCCAAGAGGAGAAACTGAGTGTTCAGTGACATGGTTTACTAACTCAAGACCATGGCCAGGGCTGCAAAGCCAGGCATCTTGGTTCCTTACCCAGAGCTGCTTACAGCTCTGCCATACAGACAGGTAATGGGGAAACAGAGTGTGACATTTCTATCCCATAGCTGAAAGTTCATGGGCATTTTAACCTATACACAAAGAAACAAAATGCAGATCCTCTGAATCATTTCTGTGATTATTTTTTCACTTCAGTCTTTCTCAAAGATCCTTTATTGGAATGAAACTTTAAATATAGTAAATTTTACATCTTGTGACTGTTAGATAATCAGGTTTTAGAAACTGCAACCAGCTCTGTGCCACTTTAATACACTTATAACACTCACTTGATTCTCTTGTGCCATTAGGAATGTTATATTTCCTACACACATCAGAAAGATGTTGGAGGAGTTGAGAAACCTACTAAATTAATTAATTCACTAAATGCCTGTGGACCAATATGCTAGCGGTGCTGGAGGTACCAAATGAAAAAATAAATCAGCCCCAGCTTTTAAATAACTCAGGGCCTTTTGATAAGAGCAAATACATAGAAAAATGATACCCCAGCACAGGGTGGCATATGGGTGGGGAAGGCTTTAGACCAGTGATGGCAAACCTATGACACACGTGTCAGAGGTGACACGCTAACTCATTTTTTTGGTTGATTTTTCTTTGTTAAATAGCATTTAAATATATAAAATAAATATCAAAAATATGTCTTTGTTTTACTATGGTTGCAAATATCAAAAAATTTCTATATGTGACACGGCACCAGAGTTAAGTTAGGGTTTTTCAAAATGCTAACACTCTGAGCTCAAAAGGTTCACCATCACTGCTTTAGACAGTACTTAAATTGAGTAACCAGGCCTGTGGCGAGTTAACTGAACAAAGATAGGATATAAGGGCATTTAAAAAAAACCCAGCATTATTTTTGCTAGAGCTGGGATGGAAAAGAAGACATTACAACATACTTAGTGTTGTTTTTTGAATACACTGCTGTGGGAAAGTGACAAACTTAGAGAGGAAGGAAAGAGAGAGATGGTGGCTAATCTTTTGGGTCATACCAAAGAGTTTCAACATAATTCTGTGGGTAACAAGAATCTTCTGGGAGGATTTTAGTCAGGGGTACATTATGAGTAGATTTGCATTTTTGGGTTGTTTTTCTTTTCAAACACTTCTCTATTTCTTTTATAAAATGCTATTCCCTGAAATAACACTTTTCTCATAGTAGCAAGGTAACAGCACTCTTAAAAACATCTTTATTACATGTATTTTTAAATACTTCTGTACATGCATTACAAAATGACTATCACAACCATTCCCTGAAATAACACTTGATAATATTTTTACTTTAAACAGATCATGTTGGCAATTTGGAGTTTATATTTTAAGGAGTCAAAGCAATAGTTCAAGGGTGATGATCAAGCTTGAACCATAGAAATTGAAGTAGACACGATACAAAGTGGAACAGAAAAGAGCATGATATTCAGAAATAAAATGTGTAGAATCAGCTGAATGATGGATTTGGGGAATAGCAATTAAAGAAAAGGAGAGCAAGCTTCAAGCTGGATGGTTGGCTGGACAACAGGACCTAATAGTTTAGTAAAAAATGGTGCCAGTCAGTGTATGAAATGCCGAACTTGTGTTTTCCATGGGCACTTATCCAGCAGGAAGTTTTTAGTCTAAAGCTCCAGAGAATGGTCCAGGCTTGTGATAAAATATTTAGTAATCACTAACAACCAGACAATTGCTAGTTGAATCCTGGAGGATAAAAATAACAAAAAGATAGAATGAAGGAAACAGTGGTAAGCTAGTACCATGGGGACAACCATCATATAAGGGATGCATAGTGGAAGTCAGTTATGGATGACACAGAAATGGTGTGAGACATAGAACACAACACAGGAAGATGGGCCATCAGGAAGCTAAGAGAATTGAAGATGTAAATTAGAGAGTATCAAGGAGTTTTCAAATGGCTTTAAAGTGTCTTCTAAATCTTCCTACTCAAAGGTCAAGGCGATATTAGCAAGTGCAGTTTAGTAGAGTGGCTGGAATGAATTATGTCACAGTGAGCAGTGGAGTAAAAAAAGATGAGACAGTAAAGACGGTGAGTATAAAGAACACTTTAAGATATTTTCTTCAAAATGAGCTCAGGGAAGAGTTACTAAAGGAGTCTCAAGATTCACTGAGCTTCTCTTCCCAAGAGAGAGCTCTTTGCCAGCGATACTAACCTGAGCTCCTCCCTGTTATATTGAAATGTTGTAATCTCTAATACACATATAGGTTTCTAAAAATATATTGAAAGCATTTAGAAATTGTTCTTCAGCTTTTTAAAGGAACCTAGGAAGGATTTGACTCTTGTTTAACCGCGTGCAATTTTGGTTAACACACAGAATCAACAGAGGAGCTGAAAGTGCGAAGCCACAGCACAGAGCCACTGCCAAAGCTGGACAGCAAAGAGAAAGGACACCATGGGGCATCTTCCAGAGAGCCTGTCAAAGCTCAGGAATGGGATGGAACACCAGGGCCACCTGTGGTCACCAGTAGACTGGGAAGATGCTCTGTGAGCCCCACCTTATTAGCAGGAAACCACAGCTCAGGTAAGAAGGATGATCTCCCAGATAGATGGTAACGCCTCATGTCTCTGGAAACTGCTCTTATGCAATTATCACTTGGAGAACCATAGCCACAGATATGCCTTTCTACTCGTAGAGAAAGCATGAATAGCCCTTCACATAACAGGAGGTAATAATATACTGGACCACTCCAGGGACCATCATTCACATGGACAGCAGAGTAGTGAATGGTGTTTCTTTGAGCCGTGTGATGTGGCAGCCTTGAAAACTCGAAACATCTCATACTAAATTTTATCTAGAGTCATCACCTACAGCAGTTTTTTTAAATTTATTTATAAAGTTCAAGGGATTTAAAGTTCATGCCTCTTTTGCTTCAAAACAGATTTTAAGAAACTCGGAAATGAGCAGAAAGTAAAGTGGAGGATGAAAATGTAACAGAGACATGCTAGTTGGTTTGGCTGCGTGGATATAGCTTCGGCCTGCGGACTGAAGGGTCCCAGGTTTGATTCCTGTGAAGTGCACATACCCAGGTTGTGGGCTCCATCCCCAATAGGGAGCGTGCAGGAGGCAGCTGATCAATGATTCGCTCTCATCATTCATATTTCTATCTCTCTCTCTCTCCCTCTCCCTTCCTCTCTGAAATTAATAAAAAATATATTTTTTAAAAAATGTAATAAAGATGATCTGAAGGCAATAGAGGGAGTAGACATTAGGAGGCATTTGAAGTGGTGAGCTGAAGAATTTTACCTGGGACTATGTTTCCAAGTCTAAGTGAAAAATAGAAAACTATAATCTAATATACCTTTAAATTTCAAAGTTGAAATTAAAATTTGCAATGCAATTTGCATTGTTAATAGATAAATGTTATGAAACTTCAATTTATATATATATCATAGATCAGCTGTCTCTTGCACAACCCCTACTGGGGATGTGCCCGCAACCAAGGTACATGCCCTTGACTGGAATCGAACCTGGGACCCTTGAGTCCACAGGCCGACGCTCTATCCACTGAGCCAAACCGGTCAGGGCTGAAACTTCAATTTTTAAAAAGCAACATATACTTGCTTTGAACTGATTCATCTATGTGATAGACTTACAAAAAACTGTCAATTAAAATAAACAACAAATAATCAGGCACCCGCCTATAGTTTTCAGGTTTCTATTCCTTAACAGTGTTAGGGTCCTGAAGAAATGACCAATCTTTAATGTTCTTTTCAACTCTGATACTCACCTTGGAAAGCAATTTACATTAATTTAGCATGTGGTCTCTCTGAGGGTCATGCACAAGTTAAAATTGGAACAGGATGCATAGTTTCGGGGGAAGGCATATTTCTAGAAGTGTATGCAGGAAAAGCAGAACAATAGCTTCCCCATACTGAAAATGTAACTTAAAGCTTTGGTGATGCAGCTCTATAACTAACTTGAGCAACATGAGTTCAAACCTGGGGGAAGGAATATTATGGGAATTTAGCAGAAATTTGAAAAGAAATATTTTTATAATAAAGTATAAATAAATATATCAAGAGCTATTTACAAGATGACATAAGAAAGAAGTCTTCCTTCTGCATGAAAACCTTAAATGCAACAGATGGAATGTGTGTTTGGTGTGAAAGGTCGAGGAAGGTTGACTAAAGAAACTGCAAAGTAGGTTGGGACCAGATAGTAAGAATCCTGAAGGGCCTTGCATATTGGAAATGCTTTTAACCACAAAGTACCAATTAGCAGTGGCTTAAGTAATAATGACCTTTGTTAACTTCTGTAGCACCCAATCTGGAGGCAGGGAGCTTCAAGTGTTTGCCACTCTTCAGGGAGTCATTGGGACCTAGGAACTTTCTATCTTTCTAACTCTCCTGTTCTGATGCCCTTGATGATTTTTTTTCATAACCACAAACTGGCTATGACAGTTCTGGACATCATGTGCCTTTCATTTAGTTGGTCAGAACTGGGAAATATATTCTCTGGACCAATCACTTTGTGAAAGGAAATGGTATTTCCATGGGCTTACAAAAGGCCCTTCTTTCCCTTAAAGCAAGGGGCCTCTGCCTGATACCTAGAAACGAAATCCACAGACTATTTGCAAGGGTAAGGGGAGATTACATTCCATAAGTAATGGACAGTACCTGCCACATCATGTTTTGAACATTATGTTGTGGATATTTTGTATTCATTTAAATATTTTTAAGATAGGTATAATGTAATTCTGTTTCCATGATGATAGATCCAATGATGGCTTCACAGCTCCAAGCATGGGTGACTGGGAGGCCACGTGCTGAGACAGAGGTGGTTAATATGAGATGCTGAGCAGGGTTTAGATGGGAAAGCCAGCACTTCTATTTTGACTTTGTTAAGTTGGAAGTGCTCTGGGACATCTGATTGAGAAGAGAGCAGACAGTTGGAATTACAGATCTGGAGCTGAAGAGATTAAGTGGAATTAGAGATTGAGACTAGAGACATTTGGAATGGTTAACACCATAAGACTAGCTGATTCTAAACTCAGAGAACAGGAAACAGAGGTGAAGGGAACTGAGATTAGACCTGGGGAATCCAAACACTTTAATGTGTGAGCAAAGGATGAAGAGCTTGTGAAATAAATGGAAATGAAACAGTGATACTGTCCCCAATTCACTTTTACTGAACACTTAGTAAGTTGCATAAAAATGGGTAATAGGTCTGTGACACTGTGACATGAATCTTTCAAGAAATTCAGACAGTAAACAGAATTTATAATGAACTTTGACTTTCTCCCACCAGAAACTCCAGAAGCATCTTTTTGGCTTTCTATGGCCTTTAAATCTTTCCTGAGTCTTTTCAGCTCTGTTTGTAGAGCAGTAAATCATCTCATGACCAAAAGAAATGACATAAATTTCTGGAGTCCCTCACATTCTCCACCTGAGATTATGAAGGTGGTAAACAAAGGGGAAGGAAGGACATATTTTTGTTGTATTTTTGATAAAGACATTTTTGAGTCTCTCTCCAAAGAAATACGAAAAGTAGGGGAGAAAGTATAGTCATTTACATAATGTCAGTGCAAGTCAGGGTTTCTTACGTGAAAGTGAAACCATTGACATGACCACTCAAAAGTAAGTGTGCATCACACTTACTTTATTACTTACTTGAACTTTTAGAAAAAGTCAATGGCTCCCAAATATAGCATCACATTTATATCTATCGAGTCTACCCTTATACCAATTTTGAGGGGGAAAAGGAGAAAATGAAAAATGTTTATGTTTTGCAGCTTTTGTTTCTCTGAAAAGAAAAAAACGACTATGTGCCAATACTATTCTAAAAAATGCCATAGGTTCACTAGCAAAAATGTATAAAATAAAATATCTGAAGTTCACATACCTTGGATATTACTTAAAATGTACTTGAAGAGTGCTCATCAGAGGGTCTTTGTCTAGAACAAACAACTATATGAATATGGAATTCTGTGCTTCTAGAGGCTCTTTTGAAGGAAAAGAGTCTTTTACTCTTCCTCCCTCTCTTCACACTTCCTGGTCATTATTGTCTCCTTGCCACTGGGCCACTGAACTACTAGTCTCCTAGTGAAATACACTGGTGCTGTAACAGACAGCCCTCCTCCCAAAACAACAGAGGAACTCAACTCCACACCTTACACTGGAGGGCAAGGAGATTCCACCTATAAATCCCCACCTGTCTGTCAACTTTGCTTCTGACACTTGCATTTCATCTCTCTCTCTCTCTCTCTCTCTCTCTCTCTCTCTCTCTCTCTCTCTTTCTCTCTCTCTCCCCCCCCCTCTCTCTCACACACACACACACACACTGCTCTCAGTCACAGACTATTGCTTTACCAAAAGTGGTTTAGCCACTTGATAATGTTGTTCATAACAGCTCTTTTGAGGAATGGAGGAATTGCTGAAGTAAAACAAATGAGTGTGTCAGATCTCAATTCTAATTAACATTGCCACTGGTTGCTGTGGCACATTATTAAAGTCACTGTAGTTAGTTAGTAAGTGAGGGATTCCCTGAAGAGTGATTCTTGAAGGCAATGGTGGACTGGGGGCCCAAATGCTCATGAAAATAATGGGGGAAAGTGGAAAGTATACAAGTAAGTATGGTATTGACAAAAACTCAGAATTCAACCACTGGGTCACTCAACGAATAGTTTCCAGGCAGCTTATCTCTAGCTCTGTAATGGTTTTGAGGGATGCACACACACACACACACACACACACACACACACACACATCATAATCTATATGAAACCTGGTCTCTGTCACCCAAAGACCTTACTACGCTTCTTTATGAAACAAAACTATAGAATGAAAATTAGATTACAATTAAATGTTGTTTTCATCATTATTATATACTGTATTATCTATACTGTTGACTATGGATGTACTGTATTATCATTCAAATAACAAAATTAGTTTGGACTTTAAAGAAATGGAGGACTTGAATCTTAAACCAAGATTATATCAGGTCTTTGAAAAACTCATGATTATTAACTGAGTAGAAATATTTAGAGGGAACTTTCCATATGGGATGAGGGAGGTGAACAAAAGCTGAGATAGGTCTCTCCTGATTTGGTCCTGCCCATCCAGCTGGACTGAAGAATCGTTTCTGGAAGTTAACTCAGAAGGCCTTGGCTTAATCCTATGTGGAACAATCGAAAAAAGAACTCCACCTCTGTGTGTGCAACCTTGTGTGTTTCTGTTGTTCTGGGAAGAAGGTACCAATGGGCTGAGAACTGAGGCGCCTGGAGGACAGGCAGGTAATATGAACAGCAGACAGGTTGAGCTTGTACACTACATACCTAGGAATGCCCTTTGTTCTCACAAAGAAAGTGATTTTCGCAATTTTTCTTAAAACTTGAAGTCATTTTGGCCTAAGTGATATATGTCCACATCTGTTAGAAGCATAGGCGTGGAGACATATTTCTGCATCGCAAGGACATTTTATTGGACACTGACAAACATCAGGACGGAATGATAGAAGTGCAGGTGACCTGGAAGGCACAGCGCCCTCTAGGGGACAGAAGCTACTAGTGCCAGCTGATGCTC